CTAGCTGCCTGGCCCTAGAGTAAGAACTAGAGATTCAGAGGACTAGGTTTGTAGATGAACCCATTGACGCTCAGAGAGGTGGAGGAATTGGAGCAAAGCCACACTGCCATGAAATAGTAAAGCTGCAAAACCTGGCTGATTTTACTCCGCAGATCATACTCATCTACTAACTGTCGCTGTCAGTCAGAAAGGGCAAAGACTTATTTGATATGGGCATCTATGAGGCAGGATGCTCAGTCACTGCCCCTGGAGCCCAGGCCTGCCACATCAAATGGGCAGTGAGACCTGTGTGTAAGTCAGGGACCAGACTGTACCCCGACACAAGCTGACCCCCTAAAAGGTCAGTGAGACCCACACCTGGCAATGAAGCACTCTCTGCCTTCAGGTTTTACTACCGGTGCTCATCAGAGCCTAGGACATATCAGACCCTCGACAAATGTCTGGAAAATAAACTAGGCATGTGAAGCCCTTCCTTCCTCTGTATTTCCTGTGAAATCCCAAAAAAATCACTGTCACACACTGCTTAACAAACCTCACAGGAAAATTACATCCTGCAACAAATATTTTTTCAGTGTTGAAGACTCAGAATTTGCTTCCTTAATTTAGACCAAGGACAGACATTCTTACAAATAAAGTTTTATTGGCACACAACCACGCCCACTTATTTACATATTGCCTGGGGACAATTTCCAGACACAAAAGTAGAAGTGAGGATGCTGCAGAGTTCTGTGGCTCCCTGAAAATATTTACTCCCTAGACCTGGGTAGGGAAAGTTTGCCAAACATTCACTTAGACACAAATATAACCCACTCGGCATGCTGAGCTCAGGGTTCAGGGCAAACTTTAATGTTAAGTTTTTGTAACTCATTCATCTTTACCATTTTTTATTTCTCGGTACCTCTATGTTTTGATCTTCTAATTCCACTCTCACATTTTGCTTAAAAGCAGCTAACATTTCCTGAGAACATACTATGTACCAGAAACTGAATTAAGTCCTTGAGTGTGTGTGCTAATTTAATTCTCGCAATAAAGTACTGAGGGAAGTAATATTATCCTCCATTTGTTGATGAGAAATGAATGGGAAAAAGGTAAATGAAGTTATCGCCTGCATAGGGGAATATGCACTATGTCGTAATTCAACCTCAGATACGCAGTAATATGAGGGAAACTTTGGGTGCTCAATAGCTACACTAGAATTGGTGGGGCCAGGACCGGGAGCTATGATCAATGCAAGCAGAGCTATAGGACTATAAAGCGCTACTGTGACTCCAAGATTGTTCGGTGTTCCATGCAGCTCAGGGCAAGGCACACAGACGGCTCATCATGAACCTTCCAGTTGTGGGGGTCACAGTGAACTGAAGTCCCGCAGATGGGAGGCGGGACTCAGAACCACCCCCATCGGTGCTCTGTGTGGCCGGGCCACCCAGCCATGTCCCCACAGACCTCATCCAGGACCTGTGCTCCCAGATGTGTCCTCTTTCGGAAAGCTGAGCCCACATGACTCTGGGATCCTCGAGAGGCTGGATCTCTGTTGATAAACATCTGCATCCGAGGCAATACTACCTGCACGCGGGAGGCCTCCTACATTGGCTGTGGTTCACCTAAATCTGCCTCCATATATCTGAAACAATTATTCTGCTTTAAAAAAGAAAAGCTTGCCTGCCTATTACCTCCAGTCATCCCCACACCTCATCAAGCACCTTGAGATTCATGGGCCAAGCAGGGCCATGGAGGCAGGCAGATCTGTGCTCGCTCCACAGAAAACCTCAGTCTCTTTCTCAAATAGGAACGGCAGGTCCATGCCAACCTCCCGGACGGACAGTGAACTGGCTCATTCCAGGCTCGCAGACACCACAGCCCCGTCCCATGCCAGGGACTGGGACTGAACCCAGGGCCTCAGCACTGAGCGACCGACCCAGACCCTTTCTATTTTTTATTTTCAAGGTCAGCTCGAACTCGCCATCTGCCTGCCTCAGCCTCAAAGTGTCCTGGAATTACAGGTATGTGCCAGCACACCTGGCTTACACATCAGCCCTGAAGCAACACCAGCCGTTCACTGAGAACGCTGGAGAAAGAGCGCGTCACAGCCTTCTCTCAGGAGACCCCATGCAGTCGCCCAGGGTTCCAGGCACCTCTGCAGGGAACGAGTCCAAGTGCTAAGCCATCTGCAGCTGGGAGTGGGAGAGGAGAGGTGGCAGCCCCAGGGCGGCAGCAGGTGCTGCAAATCACCAGAGACCCTCAGGGGCAGTGTGTGGGAAACAGGGCTCAACACCAAATGTGCCCCGTGCGCAGGCACTAGCAGGCATGAGACGAGATTAGGCAACAAGCGTGGGGCTGTGAGCAGAAGCGAGGCTGCTCGGAGACAGGAAGGAGAGCCAGAAGCAGCCCAGAAGCAATGGGAGCACTGGGACCAGTGCCGCAGCAGCCCAGCAGCGCTTCCCACTGAGCCGGTGGGTTCCCAGGCCCTGGGCCTGGCTGGATGGTGCTGCCAGTTCACCCGCCACACCCTGGTCCCTACACCTGTCATGCCACACAAGCATGGTCCTTCCAAGTGCCCTGCCGTGAGGGCACGAAAGCCCACAGAGGAGAGGCGGTCTGCCCAAGTCACGGCTGTGGGGCGGCACGGGGAGCAGCACCTCTCCTGGCACCATGGACTCGGAAGCACGCTCCAGCACTGCCACGTCCCCAGGGGCACTTGCTCGTCCCTGCATGCGCAGTCACTAGCGCAGCGAGTCAAGTCATGGCAAAGGCGCCTCCCACAGGTCAGCTCAGAGGTGGGACCGGAACAACGGCTTCACAGAGGGTGACTGTTGCTGCATCTGCATCCACAGAGTGCAGCTCCTCAGGGAGCAGGGTGGGAGTCTCATCTCTTCCCATAACCCCTGACTTGTGGCTGCCCTCCCATGAGAGGCAAGAGATAACCCGACCACCACAATGGGGCTGTTCCAGGGAACTACTGATAAAAGCAGAGAAAACCCTGCTTCGGGCCGTGATAAGGGAAGAGAAGCCTCAGGAGGGTGGGGGCGGCCGGGAACCGGGAATGCAGAAAGCAGGGCCAGGACCACTGGGTCTCCCTCCCGCCATCATTTTCCTGGTGAAAACCCCAGCCTGAGACTCATTCACCACTGTGAGCTCAACCACATCCTCAGTCCAGAAGTCTCCCCAGAGCCTCAACAGAAGCCCCTCTCTAGGGGGCTCCTCTCCTGGCCCTGCCTGCCCGGTGCAGAAACACAGCGCCTGTCTCCCCACAGGACAGTGCACTGCCCAAGGGCACGGGCTTCCTGCACACCCAGCAGCCCAGGCTGGTCCCCAACCCCATCCCACTCCATCCCTGGACCCTTGGTGTCTTCCACACACCAGGAGGGGCTCCTGAACTCTGCTTCTCCCACTGGACAAAGAAGTCACCCAGTTCCAAGGGCCCGAGTTCCCTGAAGACACCATGGGAAAGTCTCAGTCCTTCAGCTGAAGTGGGTAGCTCAGCATCAAACACTGGAGAAGTCGAGGCCTCCTGCCCTGCTTCTCCTGTCTAAACAGCCCTTTGAGGCAAGTTACGTGCCCCCCAAAGCTTCAAGTTTCTCAACTGTAAAGTGGGCACCCCACTGCCACCTGGCTGTACAGAGCTCCCTTCCGTCTGTCCTTTCCAGGGACACGGAGAGGAAATCATGAAGAATCAGCGTCTCACCAGGGCAACTGTGCCGCAGCAAACGTGCCGAGCCTGCGGGCAGGCCGCACTCTAGGGGCCTCCGGCCTCAAATCCCATCACTTGCACAGGAGACTGTGAGACTGCAGCATGCCTGGAAGTGCCCACACCTAGGACTTCCCCAACTCTGGGAGGCTGGGAAAGCCGACCTGGGAAGTGCCCGAGGCGGCAGAGGCACCCAACCACAGCAGCCAAAGACCTGCACCCAGGGCTGCCTCGAAGTCAAGTGCTGGGCAGCCCCAGTCACCTGAGCCCTTGTGCCACGCACTGGTGGGGCTGCCACTCACCTCTGGGTGGTCCAGTGACAACACAAACCTGTCTCAGGCCACGTACCTTCCAAGCCCCCAGTCCCAACCTCAGAGGCTGGTCCTTCTGCTCGTAGGCCCCTGACAAGCAGTGGGCTCCTGGTGGCAAAGCCAGCCGCTCGCTCCCCGCGGGTGGCAGGACGGCCTTTTCTCGTGTACTGCTCAGGTGACACTCACCTTCCCCAAGTGCCCCTTAACCAGATGCCTCCGCCAAGCCGAAGTTCCAGTGCCAAGCCCAGTGCTGCCTGCCTGCTCCTGCCTCTGCTCAGAAAGACTTCTAAGGGCCAGGCAAGGCCCCTGCCCAGGGCTCCTCAGCCAGCACTGCCCAGCCACATGTTCCCACATCACTGTCCATTTCATGATCCTCAACTGCTGCTGTGAAGCAGGCGACACTGACTTCACCTCTACCAAAGAGAGAAAGGAAAAGAATCCAGGGTCACTGCCCCAGGCCACCCAGGAGCATGTGTTAAAGATGCAAATCCAGCACAGGCAGCTGCTGCCCAAGTCTCTCAGCACGGGCCATGTGGTCTCACGTTCCCGGCTCTAAGCATGGAGCCAAGAAACTCCGTCCCATTGAACTTCCAAAGTCTTAACTCCTTAGCCCTTTGCCCTTCTGTGCAGCACTCGGGAGCGACCACAAGTCAGGCACAGTGATGTCTCAGACACAGACGTGCTCCAGTGGCACTGGCCTTCATGGCATGGGCTCAGTCTGCAAGAGGAAGGCAGCTCACAGTCCAGAAGAGCCAGGAAGGGTGCCAGGAAGGGCACACACATCAGGGCAGGCAATGGGGGGGGGGCTCCCAGGAAGGACCTTGCCATTTCCACCTGTCTCCCCCCGGCTCCTGAGAAACACACACCACTGAGCTCTCGAAAGCCCGGCTGCTCTGAACACCAGCCACATCCCAGACACTGGCAGTCAGGACAGTTACCGCAGAGGCCTGGAGAGCTAAGGACAGCACACACGAGATGCTGCACAGGGAGGAGGTGAGACTTACATTTCTGAGGGACCCCAGGAGCTGGCGGAGATCTCACAAAACTTCCCACGAGGCTGGCGAGCTCTGCCCTCCTGGGGAGGCATGGCCAGGTCCCCTGTGGCATCCAGGCTGTGAGACTCCGTAGTACCCTGCCAAGGCCAAGGCCTTCCTGAGAATCCCCAGCATCCTGCACAGCACTAAGCGTGTAATTCCAGGACACATGTCACCAGCGTCATCCCCAGGTGGCTGAATTGCACTGTACATCCACTGGGTTCAGAAACCTTTGAGCGAGTCTGTGCACCTGCAGGCTCTGCAGTCCTGAGGGTGGGCATCCTTTTCATCTCCCTTGGGTCAGAAGATTGGGCCTGCAACAGGGAGGAAGGAAGAATGGTCTTGTCACAATCACTGACCCCCCAAGGAGCCAGGCATCCTCCCTCCTTGTATTTGACCCTAGATATGAAATTGACTCCCCACAGCTCTGACACCCAAATACAGGTGGGGCAGGAGGCCAGGGGAACCTTTGGGAGCGAGCTTCCCGCCCAAACCAAGGGCCTCTCCTACCCAGCACTCGGACAGGTCCGGGAGGATGGCTGGACTAAGCTGCCAGGATGCAGAAAACAGGGAGGGATGGCAGTGAGGCCAGTGAAGGCTGGGCGGTGAGGTCCCAGCAGGGAGCTAAGAGGTTGAGGGTCAGCTGGTCGGAAGTTGTGCTTGGCTTTGTTTCTTTTTAAAGGCAACCACAAAACCCTGGCGTGGCTCCAGGCATTGCCTTCTGAAGAGAGCTTCTTACACATCCATTCAGCACTTCCGGAGCCCCTGCAAGGTACAAGGGCCACTCCAGCTACAGCTGAGGCCTTTGTGTCCTCCACCAGTCCACTCAAATTACCCAAGGGTAACGGGACAAATCCATCCGAGGTGGCCAGGGCAAGAGGCCCTGCATTCCCAGCCACCCACTGACAGCAAGAACTGCCCTCCGTGGTGCATCTAACTGCTCCCCCACTGAAATCGCTGCATCCCACCCAGTGCCAGCCCCCAGAACCCAGGGGCTTCTTGTCCTAGTTCCCAGATGAAGATCTGGGGGCACAATGACTTTGCTTCACACTAGTAAGAAAGGAGCCTGAACCCAAACCTGGGTTATCCATAGAGCCTTGATCCACCACTCTGAGTTGCCTACCCAGAATGGCTACAACTTAAACTTACGTCCTGGCATTTCACAGGCATTTCTCATCCTCACCAAAAAAAATTAAAGATGAAAAAGCTTATAAGCTATTCCCAAGTTTAAAGATGAGAAACGTGAGGCCCAGAGAGGCTAAGCAACTTCCCAAAGATCAGTGGTCTTTCTAAAAGAAAAGTACACGGGGGCCAGGGATTTGGCTCAGTGGCTCCGGTGCCTGCCTCGCAAGCACAAGGTCCTGAGTTCGATCCCCGGTACCAAAAAAATAAATAAATAAAAAGAAAAAAAAGAAAAGCAAAGCACAGAGTCACCAGCAGTGTGAGCCCGAAGTCCATGAGTTCAGCCATGATCACAACCTCCATCAATAACAAGTACTGCCACCAAAACAAATTTTCACAAACCAAAAGGTCGAAAACGTCACAGGTCGGGCACGAGGTAGGTCAGCGGTCAGACGCGGGCTCGCTGGGCTGAAGCACGGAGAGGCCGGGCTGCGCTCCTTTCCGGGCTCCGAGGGTCCCACTCCCGATCCTCTCGGGTTTCTAAAGGTCACCCTCCGGCCTGGGTCCTCGGCTCCACTCCTCCCTCGGCAAAGCCGGCCCCACACTGCTCTGGCGGGGCTGTCTCTCCGTCCACTTCCACGCTGGGGTCTCGCGGGGGCACTGGGCTCCCCGCGGATCAGGAGCGTCTCCCCACGTGAGGAGCAGCCTCGAGCACATGGGCGGCCCCTCTCACCCCGAGGGTTTCAGGATGCACAGGCCCAGGGCTCGCACAGCGCGGTCTTTGGGTCCAGGGCTGCGCCCACCGGCAACTCTGCGGGAGAGCGTTCGTTCCCGCTGCCTTGGCAACCGTGGCGAGGAGCAGCCACCATGCCCGAATCAGGGAATCAGGATCGCCTGCAACCCGGCCCAACGCACGCACGCACAAGTTCCGGTAGCCAATGGGGAAAGCACAAAGAAAACAGGGAGCTGGGCTCTTCTGAAAAGCCTATCCACGCCCTCACTTGAGAACCGGAATGGACGCCTGCGCACAGGGCACGATGGCAGCTGTTCTCGGGTCAGCAGGCGCACCAACCGCCAAGGACATTCAGGAGGTCAGTGGCAGGCGCTTGAGACACAGTCTCCTACCCGACCTGCCGTGACTTGTGGGAGGTGGTTGAGATTTCCCACCGCGTAGACCAGGCTCTTGAGCCTCAGGCGCTGAGAGACAGTCAGCCTCTGCACCCAGGTTGGTTTTAGTGCCGAAGTGAGGGTTTCCAGGAACTTCTGCTGCTGCTGTCAAGTAGCACCTGTTGGATCATCTCTCCTGTGGGTAATTATAAACACTGCAGCACTGAGGATTGAACCCAGGGCCTTCGCACTAAGCTACATCCCCAGCCCTGTTTTTATTTTGAGACAAGTTCTCGCTAAGTTGCTATGTTGACCAGGCTGGGCTTCAATTTGGGATCCTCCTGCCTTAATCTCCCAGAGTGCTGGGATTACAGGCATGTGCCACCATACTTGGCTGTACAAAGTATTTCAAAAAGAAGATGAAGGAGGGAGAGAGAGAGGGAGAGAGAGGGAGAGAGAGGGAGAGAGAGAGAGAGAGAGAGAGAGAGAGAGAGAGAGAGAGACCCTAAATGCAGGACATCCTGGAAGGGCTCAGCATTCCTTGGATGGCCTCCTTTTGGTCACTTTCAGCCTAAGGGCAGGCCCAGGTCCATGCAGGCAGGTCGCTCAAACTTAATGGTTTTGCTGGATTGAAAAATCAGGACAGAAATCAAGATAACAAAACAGCAGAAAGTGAGAAGGAAAATCCTGATGTAGGGAGACCCCGAAAGGAAACCCTTGAGTTGTGCATACACACAGCGACCTGCAGCATGCAGCAAGCCCAGAGCCCAGCTCACACACAGCCTGGCTAAAGCCAGAGCAAAACAGAGAATGCACTGCTGCCCAGTGCCAGTCAGTCTGAGGCTTACCGAGTGATGTTTACTAAGTTATCCAGTTCAAACATTTACTCAGTTAAGAGTTCACAGAGACAGGAAAGCAATACTCTCCAGAGGAACAAAACAGAAGTCAGAGTCCCTACAATGTGTCATTTGCAATGTTCAGGACACAATTAAAATTAACTCAGGATAACAACCAGAAAGGAGGGGGAAGGAAGGAAGATCCATTCTCAAGACAAGCAGGCCGTGATAGAGACTGTTCCCATTGTCCCAAGATGGCCAAGCTGCTGGAATTAGCAGACAAGGGTTTAAAGCATCAACTGTAACCATGCCGAACAACTTAAAGGAAAGTATATCCTTAGTGCATGAGAAAACAGGAAATCTCAGCAAGGAAGGAAAAACTCAAAAGGCCAAATCAACATTCCAGAATGGAATGCTTAAACAGTTCACTGGGTCTCTTTCACAGCAGACTGCAGAGGAGAGGAGAGGAGTAGTGGGTTGGAAGGGGGAGAACTGGAGGTCAGAATGCAGTCCTTGGAGCCCTCACTGTCCTAGCCAGTCACGGCTCTGCATCAGACTGGTGAGGTGAGATTTTTCCCACCTGACGTCACAAAGCGGGTGTCCCTTTGCCTCCTCCTAAGGAGGCACACGGCAACAAGCCCTGCCCCGCCCCCCCCGCCCCGTGTCCACGTCACTTCTCCTCCCACAAGCGGCACCTGCTGCCCTGGGAAGATACTGCACATCCAATCACTGGTGCCCAGAGGCTCCTCTGCAGCTTCCTCCCTCCCTCCCTCATGTGCTAGGTGACACAGTGAGGGGCAGGGGTGGGGTGGGGCCCAGGAGCCAATAACCCAGAGTGTGAGCCCCAAGCTGGGTCATGGTCCATGACCTCAGGCTCACTGAACAATGTGATTCCTCATACTTAATAAAACACCAAGCAAACTACACATCCTCTGGGAATCATCTGCTCGTGGGAAAATGAAACAGGTAAGTGCTTGGTGGCACTGCAGAGTCACTGTCCCCTTGCACAGGTTTTGCCCCTGTGCATTAAGCTTAATAAATGGGAACCCGAGTCAGTCCAGTTCACCCCTGTGACAGAGGAACAGGAGGCACCATCACAGACCCAGCCACCTCTGTGCTGGGCACAGGACCTGCTATCGGTTCCGCAAGCCCTCAGCTCAGAGCCACCAGGCACAAACCCTGGCATTCAGTCTGCACAATCTTGGACTCCACACAGGCTCAGCCAGGGGTGGCCAGAAGGGTGCTTGATAAATCACAGCCACATACCGAGTGCTCATGCCCGGAAACCATGGTAAATAAGCAAGACATACCCCAGCCTTCAGGGGTTTTTAGGTGTGTGAAGAAATCCAGAGAAGCAAACGTGCAGACAGTGGGTGTCCATGAACAAGAGCACTTGGTGACACCCAGATGGCCTGGCAGGCTAGCGGGAGCTCAGGAGGAGAAGGAGCGCCCAGACCACACTGGACACGAGAGGCCTCAGCAGAGGAGCACACAGGAAAACTGGAAGCTCAGGATCAGTTTTCCCACTGAACAGCTGAGGAGAAAGGGCCGGCCAGAGAGGCGCCAAGACTTGGCAAAGATCACCCAGCCGAGGCCTGCAGTGTGGTGGAAGAAGCAGTGAGAGAGATGCCTGGCACATGATGAGGACGGGAGGAGCTGCTCCTAGCCTGGCCGGCGCTGGGGCATCATCAGCTGAGGGTGGCACAAGTGGAAGCTCAGCAGAGAGAAGACAGCCACACCTCCCACCTGCTCATCACAGCAGCACCGGCTGGATTAAGCCCTGCAACCTCCAGCAGCACTGTGAGATGGGAGCTGCACACAGGCGCAGATGGGAATGCAGGCGCTCAGAGATAGGTGTGCTCAGGCTATCCAGGAAGTGAGGACAGAGTGGGCACCTGAGCCTGGCACTCAGCCTGCAGGGCCTCTTTGCTTAGCCACTCATCTATGCTGCCTTGGAAGGACTTTGTGTTGGGCAAGTTGAGGGCCAGCCAAAGCTTCTAGAAGAAAAGTTGAGGGAGCAGGAGTTCAGCTGCTGGAAAAGGCTGGATGAAGACTCCAGGGAATCAACAACATCCACTGGCAGAGTGGTCCGAGCCCTCTGTGGGACCAGTAGGCCCAAGTCCTGCCTTTGTCCCACAGCCCTTCCCTCCCATCACCCAGCCTGGTTCTCCATCAGAGTGGACAGCGAATCCGGCCACAGCCAGGACCACAAGTCATTCCTGCCAGGCTCAGGAGTGGGGAGAGGGGTC